TCTTATTTGTTTTTGTTGATCAACATACGCTAAGCAAAAAAAAAAAAATAATAATAATAATAATAATAATAAAAATAATAAAGAGCATAAACAACTTAGAGAGCTGCACAGCTACCAAAGCAATTTCTTGATTCTTTATATGGTAGTTAAGTCTCTAGAGTAAGAAAATTAATTAAAGTTTCTCGTGTTTGTGTGCATGTATTGATAAAATATAAACAAATCGTAGCGGAAGGTAACATGTTATAACAATGACTATAAGACTCAATTAAATGAATTTAAAGCACGTGTCAGGTGAAAATTTTATGAGCGATTGAGCGATGATGGCCGATTAAAAAGCAAAAAAATAAAAGCAGAAAAACAAAAAAATCGTTTTTCCTTCTTTTTTCTTCGTTTACTTCGTTCAATAATAACAACTGCTAACTTACTTACTGATCATTTCATAACCATATTAAAGACTTAAGCTGCAAACTTGCCAAGACATTGTCATTGAATGCGTACAAGCATACAATGGGCACACGTGTACCGCCACCTTGTCCGACGCCCCTAATATGTGATGGTCAAGTGATGGCCGGTCTAACACAACTCATTGATGATTTGCAGAGATTGTCTGAAGATCAGGATAGTGCTGATGTTGTCTTCATATGCGGCCGCGAAGAGGAACGCATTTATGGCCATCGCATTATGTTAATGGCACGGTAAGCTTAAAAAAGGCAAAATAAATGAGAATCAATAACAAATAAAATAAACTTCCACAAGGTGAATATCTCTTCAATAGCAACAATTATCCGTTCAATATATATATATATCATCCAGACAGTCGCGCAGACAAACATATCATTAAATTGATTGCTGGCATTGCTGGCAATCAATATATCTCGTAACTCGTATTCTTAATTGTCATTCTGTTGCAAGTGGCATAAATGAATCTCTTTTCCAAGCTTCTTTCTTTTATGAATTTCCGTACATTTTTACACTTATGGCAATTGTCTCACGAAACGATCAGACAACAAACATCGCAATGCCATTGCAATTCTGTGATGGTATGTGAATCAATTATTAAATGTTGTAAAAATCCTGCTGCATGCAATTTTGTTGCATCCTTGCACATATGAATGAATCGAATACAAATCTTGATTAAAACAAGTAAGAACATTATAATCGGATGACACCGACTATTACATACCCAACATCAGTTCGTCTACTACGTTTATTCGCTCGTTTTGATAATAATGCTTCCAAAACCACAAACACACATTATCCTCACGTAAAACGCTAACTGGACTGAAAGATATGCACATTGGAAGGTTACATTTTCTGCCCATGTAAGGCTTTGCGTTTCGTGATAGCACGTACACATGTTGGGGTACGAAGTAAATAAAACTATATGGTCGCCATTCACTACCGGACTGACGTCAGACGGACAGCCAGGTTTAGACCAATTCAGATTATGATTGTGAATCGATCGCTACAGTAAACGGTGGGTCTATCTTAAGCCCTTCTACGTGTTTCATACGTCCGCACTAACTGCACCCTGCACCACAAGCGGTGTAGGGTATAAAAAAAAACGGCTTTGACGAAATTTCAAAATTATTGACGAAAAGAGAAGTAAAAGGAGATTTTTTTTGTATTTCAAGGACTGGAAAAATAATCAACCATTACTCAGTTTAGAGACCACATATACTCACTCAATTGCAAAGGTAATGCACAGATCAGCAAACAAAAACGAATTTTTTTTTCTTTTTTTATTTTCTTGCAATATTCCGTTATATTCGTTTTTCTATAAAAAGATTTTTGCGCATATTCAAAAGCATCCTTCTGAGATTTGCAGACAGATAGGCGTGAAAGAATGTGTGCGGGGGGATTCATGGAATTTTTCCGTTGAAGACGTAGACTTGTCATAGAGTGCATCATCTTGATGGAACCAAAGGTATCAAGCGATTCCCGCAATACGGAGATCATAAGCTTGTTAGCTGACTGCTGTGTTTGCAATCATTTGGCACAGATTTCATCAAATTCTCTCCCGTGACCGGACAGTCGATCCGATTCAATAATGTAATGATGCATCAATGCTTTGTCCGCTATCAGATACCGCATAAAAGTGTCTCCTATTTAATGGTTTTAAATAGCTGCAAATAGCATCGACAATCAGTAGTACGTACGCTGACGTCTTAGTTCCACTGTAAGTGAAACTCATATTTCCTTTTTTATGCATAAATTACTACAAGCTTCGCCCGTAGAACATGCGATCAAATATTTGTACATTTGTCTGCTGTAGTTAATGAGTGATGAACAAAAAATCAATTTTGTGCTGCTTTTGAAAATCAAAGGTGTTCGCACTTTTCGTAGTACTGTAGGCGTGTCCATCAACCGATTTGGCCCATTTTGAATACCAAATTGCGTGCAAGAATTTCCAATGTTTCTGCCTAATTTTTGCCGCCACGAGAATGCCAACGACAAACACTTATCGGACGGACAGACATGGCTTAATGAATTCAGAATTTCACATTCATCAAGAATATATAGGGGGATTTATAGGGTCTCTGTATCGAATCTCTCCCCCAAAGGCAGACAGGCTTAAAACGATTCAGAATAGTAGATCTATCTCCAAAATAGGTCAAATACTATGCTATATTATGGAGAGGGTGTAGGGTGTAAATAGTGTGAATTTATCATAGAGCGTTCTAACACGAATGGTACAATCTCTTTCTTCATTCTTTTTCAGCTTAAGCATTGGTAAACAGGGAGAATTGCACTCCAGGAACTATTAGGGTTTGGATGACGGACGTCACATGGACCCGGTCCAGAATTTTTGATACAATTCACATACTGGTATTTCAAAGCATCGAGCCCGAATTTTAAATGGGTTTTAAATGCAACTCGTAAATATACAATTGAAAGGCAAAAAATCGAACAAGTTTGCTGAACAATATTTTCAAGGTCTGAGGTTAGAAGATTGATTGTAGATCAGTAGTTTCCAGGTTAGTGAACGCCTGCATAAGGACTTTTCAGTTGAAAATTTCTTCAGATTAGTCATGGATATCTCAGGATATAGTAAAAGAAGGCAGGACGAAATTCATAGATTTCAAAGGCATACAACTTTGCTTGCCCGTCGAGTAAGTAATACATTTATCTCTTCATCATTTTTCCAGTTACATGTCATCAATACATTTTATTAGGTTAGGTAGTGATTTATATAGTCTTTCTTCAGATTAAGCCCAGATTGAGTTAACGATTAGTTACAGGAGTTTGTGTACATTAAGCAACAATCACAATTTATGTTTGGCTTGGGTGAACGGCACAGTACGCGAAGATTAATACGCGCTCAGCATAGTACATTTGCAAAATAATAAAGAACTCCCACAATAACCACTCCTTTATTCATAAAAAAAAAAAAAAACTTACTTAGATTGACACAATCTGCAGCAAAAGCATTCTTAAAATATCTTTCTTCTTATACTCACCAGGTGTAAGAGTTTTAAAACAGCCAAACGTGGCGAATTATGCCGTATACCCGGTTGCACTGTGTCACCGGCTGCACCAGGCACGCCGACACCAGTGCGTCTCCCTCACGTACATCCCGAAGTATTTCGCCAATTCATTTTATATGTGTATACAGCCAAGGTAAGCTTGAAGGTCGCCTTAAACTCACTTTTCACATAAATCATTCCTTTCTTAGATTTTGTTACAAGATTCGCGAGTTTTTGAAATGATGACCTTAGCCCAGGATATGGGCTGTTGCGAGTTGCGTGCCGCATGCGAGGATCATGTCATTGCGACACTCTCAGTAGACAACGCTTGTACTTTTCTTACAGCCGTCATGGAAATAAAAGAAAAGGGAGGTAATAATTTAAAATTTACTCGATTTTTTTTTTTTTTTTTTTTTTTTTTTTGTTAAAGCTTTAATTCGTTTATCGTTACATTATTGGCCAAATATATCTTAAACGGAAAAGTATTTATAGATATAAGAGCTTTTCATCAAAAGAAAGCTTTATTTGGCCTCAATGCGATAATTTCAATTCGACAATTTCAAACTTTTATCTACATTGCTTTATGTCTTCGATGAAAAATTTCGAATCGAATTATTCAATAATATATTGCATCAGGAATTATAATACACTTGTTTGTAATGAACTTATTACCGGGTGGTTAATTACTTATACGAGACAACTCATCTATTGAATCGCGCTCTTGCTTAGCATTCTTAACACAGGGCAGCACAAATAAAAACTTAAGCGATGTTTAGCATTGTTTCATACCTTTAGTGGATACAGTGAATAAGTAAATATAAATTTATTGATGTTGCCAATAACTTTAGTATATACATAAACCAACTGCTTACAATAGCTACTTTGCATATTAAAAAAGAGTGGAACAAAAAAAAAAATTGATTTACAAATGAAAATAATAATGAATAAAGCTGCTGTCAATCCAAAGACTGCAACGTTGTGGAATGAACCAATCATAAAATCCAGACGGCAAAAAACACTTAAACAAAAATTAAAGGATATAAATATAGTGTTATTCTACTTTTTCGTATTTTTCAAAGATAAGTCAATAGACACTTGAATAACAGTGAATAAGTCTCCGGTCATAATAGAAAAGATTCCGTGGACTAGAATGAAATGGAGATATGTAAATATAAACTAGTGAGAAAAATAATTACAAGAGAGTTGCCTTTGTTGCTATTTGCTTATGTTGCATTTTTTAAACATACCTGTGTTTCATGTTGTCGTTAATTCACGTGCATGGCAAAAGGAAGATGCAGAGATATAGTTGAAGAAGACGCTGATGGTAAAAGTTTTTTTTTACAGGATTTATACACACATATAAAAGCTAATAAGTTTTTGCGAAAGTCTTTAAGTAAATTTTATACAAATTATAAACGCGGCCCAAAAATGTCTTTCAAAGGCAACACAAAAGTACAAAAGGTGATGGTACAACCCATTAACCTGATCTTTCGTTATTTGCAAAATCGTTCCCGCGTTCAAGTGTGGCTATATGAAAATATCAATTTACGTATCGAAGGACACATTGTGGGTTTTGATGAATACATGAATCTGGTGCTCGACGATGCCGAAGAGGTCTGGGTGAAGACAAGAACCCGCAAAAATCTGGGACGTATAATGCTGAAAGGCGATAATATCACGCTAATACAAAATGTAAGCCCCTCGAAAGATTGAGGTTAGGCTAACCAAGTAAAAGAAAATAGCAGCAACAACAAATGTAACGATGCCGGAGATTGGAAACATATAAACAATAGCTGTTAGTACTGATATGAAAAGTGAATAGAATTTAAGTTTCTTATAAAATTATTCTTCATTTCGTAAACGTAAGCAAGAGTCCATTGATTATTGAAGGAACATATACAATAGGATTTCTTCCTTTTTGGTTTTCTGTATCTTTAATTTTTATATCTGAAGTATTTCCATGCATTGTATGAATGTAAGTACATATATGTAATTCAATCATTTATACTTAACTTAATAAAAAGATTCTTATGACTTGAAGAAAAATTGAAGTGCAATTAATGCTGGAAGACTGACTAATTTGGTATGGAAGAACGTGTCTTTTATTAGTAGTTGGAATCCTCCATTGTTTTAAGAAATTCATTTTCAAAGTCCAAAAAAAAAAAAAGAGAATTTTAAAGTGAGGTAAGATGCTGAGTTGATTTGCTGAATTTTTTCTGATGTTATTCATCTGAAAACGTCGAAGCTACCAGAGGTGCAGAGATTAAATTTTATGTTTTCATATGCATGCACTTAACAATGGACTTGGGATCTTTAAATGTGTGTGTGCCTCAAAGGTAGAAAAATACGTCATTGTGTATACACATTTGTGTTTATTTATTAAAATTTATTTTTTAAGGTAGACAGAGTCTGGATGAACTTTCAATCTTTGATCATACACTTCGCCTTTATAGAACGACAGCATTTTTATTTATCACTCACAACTTTTATAAAACTAGTTTTGTAAACTCAACAATCTTTTGGTCAAGAGTTCAATACTTATCCGGCAAGAATTCTTCTTCCATTGCAAGTTTTATTTCTTATAAGCGAGAAGATGGCCCCAGGATAAGAAAAGCGCAGCTTTAGTATAATTGAATCGTTTAATATGTAATTGGCTTTGTCCTCATGCTATTATGGACAAAGGTTGCTTTTACATACACCTATATGGTCATCATAGAATTAGTTCGAGTTGCGTCCTATTGCTAAGCGGATTCGAATTTTTTCTATAGTGTGAAATTTTTCATGTAAAAGCTTTTATATTATATTGTAACAATAATCGATTTTCCTTCGCTTTGTTCACCCTTTTCAAGCCGCTGATGAGAGGAATCGAGTCTTTCTTTTCTTCGGATTTAAAAGGGAATTTTGTTTTAATTTGAAGCAAAGCCTTGTAAATCGCTGCATTTGTATTGATAGAGGAATTTTCTTTTTCCGATGACGTAATCGGTTTTTAAAATTCTTCTATTGCGGCCAAGTGTCAAAATGTATTGGAATTGATGAAATTGTTTAAAAATTTAACACTTAAAGTGAGATTAAAACTTTAATATAAGAAAGTATTTAATGTGTGCCGCGAGAGGTACTCCCTCTCTTCTAAGAGAAGAGTAAATTTTTTGTGGAAATTGCGATTACAAGTTTTAATTTGTTTTGCTTACTAATAAGTACAAGCTTAAATACTATACTAGATGCTAGGCCGCGAGAAGATTTACTATGCTGTTCAGTCGCCATAAGACGAATTCGCTTTGAGAAAGGAGGCTTAGAGAGATAGGTTTAAAAGTGAGAAATAACTGAATGGAAGGTTAATTGAAAATCTTACTAATATTCTGCAAGTTGTGGAGGGTTATATCGGCTGAAGCTCTTAAACGTAAGAGAGAAGCTCGAAACGACACGAAATTTCCATCAGCACAAAAGCAATGCACTTCCAATGGCTTCACTATTGTGATATAATGGAGCATACTTTTACTCTCAAGCCAATTCACCTATCAACGTATAACTAATAAATATATTCTTAGCCCAAACAATTAAAAATTCAGAAAAAGTTTCGATAGTAACTTTAATCGTTTTTTTTTTTTTTTTACATTGATTTTAACATCGGTGTCTTTCTTTATCCTTCTGGACAATGTAAGGGATCGATTAAGGCAATAAAAAAAAATTGAGATCTTGACGATCTCTCTCGTACGGTCATACTCCTTAAGTGATATTGATCTCAAAAGAATGTACGGCGCTTGTTCAATTAATTGGAATGAAACCAAAACTTAATAGGATTTTAGGAATTCCATGACCACCATCAACGTCTAAATATTATTGCAGCTAAATAAAATAAGTTACAGATGTCAGGTGATTAGGTGATGTAATACAAAGTAACATTGATATTAATATCCTATACCACCTGGAGTACAAGTACAGGGATATATTAAGCTTGGGACATTTCTGAATCACTTTAGATTTGCTCGTCGATCTTTTTTTCCTCTGATCTGATATTTTGATGCAATTTAGTCCATTGGCCCAAGAACAAAAGCTATTGAAAAGATTTCGAATCGCTATATTTTTTCGACTATTTTCCATACAATGCCGTCGATAAATAGGGTTAGGTTTTTAAAAATAAGTTTCCTATATCGAGTTGAGTGTTTGTCTTACTCAAAACAGTCTACTCGGTCTTTATATTTTCGACAAGCTATGAAAATCTATGAACTCTCGGGGACTCGTGTAAGTAAGTTGTATTTTTCTTTTTTTTCCACATTTCGTTTTCCGCATTTCCATACAAGAATAGCTGCTGCTACGAAGATAGCGGTCAATAACACGGTACGCCTGAGTAATGTCATCGAATCATTGAAGAAGTAAGAAATGCATCAGAAAATAAATAAGGCTGTTCGGTAAGGTTTCCGGAGGTGAAGCAAGCTTTTCGTAGCAAGCTTTATCCATGCCATCCATGACTTCTTTGTAGTTTGAGAAAAAAGCTTCCCTCTCTTTTCTATCTAGTCGTTTGTTTTTACTTACAAACTCGCCCATTTTTTGCGAAAAGCATAGTAATGGTGAGTATGCGAGATTCGACCACTACCGACTTTTTGACTTGTTAAATTTGTTCACAATATCGTTCGAATACATTCTCATTTGATTTTATGATCGCTACATAACGCATTTTGATATATTCTCTAAGCTAGCATTCTTTGAGACGTGTCAATAGTTTCCCTTGGTCACCACCATTTGAAAGGGAACTTTCATTGGCCTTGGATAAAGGAAAGAAATGGATAAGCTCTTGGATTTGTTCTAATCCTAGACAATATATATGGAAGTACCGTAGCCAACAACAAAACAAAAAGGAAATATTTATGAAACATTAATTGATCTTCAAGCAAATCTATAGGGAAAGTAAACACATATTGATATACATATATATATATGTACAGATATTGAGAAAGGCATTAGGAGTGTTTAAATTTCAAGAAAATGAGTGTAGTTTGCTTATATAATTGCATTGTTTTCGATCTCTTTAGATGACAACTGCTCCACTGTTGGTACTGATCTAAGTCAACAAAAGTGGATTATACTTCTAAAGCTTCTTTCGCTCTATCGGTATCTTTTTTCTTTAAATCTTGACGGTTCAAATGATTTAAATGATCTCTTAAATGAATCATTGATCATGAAAGGTTCAAGTTTTGCCCTTTTTGTTTGTTTCTTGCTTGGTTCGTCCGAAACTGAAAAAGTTAACCTCCCAGAAAGTTTATAAATGCTTCTAGGCTCGATTTGTGCTCTATTTTCGAAGTGTAACAGGATGAAATTAATTATATCAAGGTGTCACCTAGAAGAGAATTGCAGAAGAGCTTTATTTCGAATCACTTAGCACATATCACAACGGCACTAACAGGC